AGAAAAAAATCAATTTTTATATTTGATGATGTAATTTGCGATAGTCAGACACCTATTCGTGACTACTTTAGTACAGGGTTAGTTACACTACAGTGTACTGTATACTAGAGCCAGAATTTATGTTCTTAGAATGTTTGCATTACATCCCCAATTTGTTCCTGCCAGTTTAGAGATTATATTATTTCGTATATTAAGTTTGTCTTCGAGGGCTTTTTGGTGTTGTTTGTAAATCAAAGCTTGTTGAGTTTTACTCCAAGGTATCTAGAAAAATCGTCATTTGGAATGCGGGTCCCGTTTACCATAACTTGTAATTTAGTACTGGCCTCACGGTTATTATGGTGAAAGAAGATAGCTGTCGATTTACTGGCATTTAAGGAAGGTGCCAGGTTTTGAAATATTTTTTTGAAGTATCGCAATATCCTTGTCAAGAGTCCTTTCTACTTCATCCAGAGCTGTACCTTGTGCAACTAAGCCCACGTCATCCGCATAGATAAACATCATAGATTTTGTTAACAATTATTGATTTTGCTCTCGGCAGATTTTATTTCCGATAACGTGAACAGCTACTTTTTTCCACGTGGAAACAATAATAAAAATAATAATAAAATCAAATTATTGGCGGATTATTTCCACATCGAGTTCTACAGCTGGAAATAAACTTCTTGCTGTATAAATACTCATTTCACCAACTAGTATATTTGCACATGCGATCTATTGGTAACAATCAATTACACCACCTGTAGAGTACGTAGAGACACGCAGTGGTCATTATTGTGAATAACTCTGTCATGTAATATTATGCTGAAAGTTCTTGCCGTTCCGAAAAAGTATGTTATTATTAGTTTTTCTTTTTTTTATCTATAACAAATATTGGTTCGACATAAGTTCGTTATAAAACACATATAATGTCTGCGAATATTTCATGTGTAATTCACATGAGACCATGATTTTTTACGAATATCGTTTTTACTTCGGGATCGCGATCGAGTATCTGCTGTACGCGCATACCACAAACAGTTTAGATTGTATTATTACGTCTGTACGGTGGTTTCTAATATTGTGTATTATCTCATTAGTTTATGATGTTTATCGGAAAAACGAGGTATTACGCGTGTATAAATTTTATTTTATACATTGGCTTTTAGTTGACTTCAACTGAAGCTTTGCAATTGAAACAATACTAGTGAAAAAAAATACATTATGATCAAACTACTGCTTATCGATGTGTACAATAGTTGTATAGTTGTTTTGAATGCATAAATAACTTTTTCGAAGACTTTAAACATCGTTTATATATTTATAATACAATTGGATTTTCGAGAACATAGTTTTTTAACGTAATTCAATAATTCACTATAGTTCCCCCGTACCTGGGTAGTATCGATATTATACAATATTTGAAGGATAGTTTCAATGTAGGCAATGTTTTTTTTTTTTTTTAAAAAAAAAATTATTGTGACCTATACTTATTTCTTTAAACGTTTTAATCTTCTTTTATTGCCGAAATTCAATTGGTAGTTATAAAAATAAATAATAAAATGCGTGTGTTACAGGTGAAATTAATAACAATTGGGCCAAGGTGCGTCGTTAACGAAATATGTGCCAATTGGTTATCATAAATTTGTTTTCTTACTGTCATTGTCATTATGGAGTTGAGCATAAACAATTAGGTACTCTATGAAAATCTGATGAGCGTTCAGTGTCTTAACAATTGCACAAATATGGTCCACTATTATTCAATAACATAAACGTATACTTAGTACCTAACCACATATCAGTATTTTTCATTTAATTTTATACACAGTATAGGATTTATTTTTTAACTTTGTCTATTTTAAACTATAAAGTACCGTACGCACAATGAAAATAAATGGATCAATGTCGCAAATTGATATGAATAGGTAATTATAAATAATATATCACACAAGATTTAAAAAAAAAATATGTAAGATTTGCTTATTCGTGTAATAACAGTATATATTACTGTAATACGCTGTTTATCAAAAAAACAAATGTGTTGAAGGTTAGTATACGTAGTTGTAGTAGTAGTAGTAATAGTAGTAGTAGCAGAAGCGGCACAACTAAGAGTTCGGGTTTTAAAAATGTTGATAAAATTACCTAACGCATTGCTATAAAAGTAACTGTGTTGCAGCGTTACGTGCGCGTAACTTTTTCGTAACTTTTACGTAAGTACTTCGTTTTTTGTCAGGATATTTACGTCGGTAGTCGTAAACCATCTGCATTAAAGATTGCTTTTGTTCCTCGTCTTTTGTGATTTTGTCATCGAAATCGCTTATTAATTTCATTCCTCGCTCAGCTACATCATTGACAACTTGTCTAAGCAAATGTACACCAATTCGATAGGCAATAATTTTGTACCATTCTGTCGGATTTCCGTTTTCGAAAAAACCGCGAGCGTTATGTTCAAGTGAAACGCAATCGGATTCAGAGTTGCGCGTGGTATCGCCGAAAACGGCCGCAGTCAATTTGCACCAAAATGGACCCAAAATATATGTAACATGTGTAATTTGTCCCAAAATAAGGATAAAAATAATTTTAAGGAAAATAATTTGCACCACCCTCAGGTAGGAAGAAATAGGAATTTTAATTTGTACCAAAATTAAAATTTATTACTTTTTTGATAGTATCTTGATAGTACAAGTTTCTATATTTCGAGTTATCAGAAGTTAATAACACAAAATTTTAGGTTTTAGATTCTGAGGCGTTTTTCAAGTTATTTACACAGAGGTCTATATGGTACTCCAGTATTGACTTCAAAGCTACGTTATCAGAATACTCATTAGTTTATGATAATTGTTTAATAATTTCATTATTTTAAGCAAAAATTATAATTTTAAAACACATAATGAAATCTAGAAAAATCATTATTGTCATTCGAGTCTAGTGTGGACGTCGACGAGGATACCGAGGAGGAATAATTGAATATTATAGTATCTAATAATCGATTATTGATCAAATATATACTAATTTCGGTGAAAATTACAAATTCAACTTTCGACCACCTGAGGGTGGTGCATATTACATATATTTAATTTGGTGCAAATCACAAACTGCCCCGTAAACGCGTTCGCACGGCACGCGCGTCCCGTCCCGTGCAATACGCAAAACATACGGCCATCGTTTCTTCGGAAAACGTTTGACGGCGGAGGAAAGGAGAGAGAGAAAACGAACGCGTGACGAACTGAATTACAACTGCGACGAGTCGTGAACGGGACTGGATGGGGAGGGGGGTGAGAGTGAAGGATGTATAATAATAATAATGATAATAATAATAATAATAATATTAATACAACGTATTGTTATTGTGCGCCGTTGAAATTGGAATCGATTACTCTTTGGCCGCGCCGACGGTTATAGCGCGTTTAGGCGAACAGCGGTGGAGAAGGGTACCCGTAGAGCAGTATCGGTCGCGTGAGGGTATTATTATTATTATAATACGAGTCGGTCGGACTCGAGACGCGAGACGATTTATGCAATTCCGCAAAACCGCAATTCGTAACACGACAACAATAACGCTAATAGTAATAATGATGATAATAATAAAAATAACCGGCCGCGAGTGTTTCGCAACCGACCGGTGGACGGGGAGAGAAGAAGACGTCATAACGACGCGCGCGCGTTGTACGGTACACGTGGCAATGTATTATGATGACCGGGGTTCGTGCCCTAAAAAATGCCTAAATATGCGTGCATTTATGCGCTTAAAATTGGCAAAATGTACTTTGAAATATGCCTAAAAAAGTTAAAAAAAAATATGCATTTATACGCACTAAATATCTAAAATGATGCACTTAAAAAAATCATAAATAATTTTTGAAATAACATGAACTATCCATTCATTTGTTTTATAGCTATATTTTATTTTTTTATGTCAGAATTAAAAAAAAATAGATTTTAAATACTAAATACTAATTTCTCGCGCTTTTATAACGCAAGTAGTATATTTACTGCTCCTGGGACAAAGGAAATCCATTGTTCTCCGGCTGCTCCTCGCTGGTCCTCCCCGGTCCCTCCGTCACCGCCGCCGGCGCCACCAATGTATGGTCCTTTCCCCCCACACTACCTGCTATCCGACCCGCTGTGCCACCGCCGCTTTATCGTTATCGTATACGACAGACCTGCGTTACAACGAACAAAAATGATAAGATATATTTAAAATAATATTATCAGGGTACGAGATGATGTATTGATAACAAATAATTTTAGCGAGTAATAAGAAGTTTAAATATATTGTACATACGTTAAGATTTATTTGTTAGGTTTGTACATTTTAATTATTATTGAAATATTTTTTCTTTAAAAAATAATATCTTATATCAATAAATAACAATAACCAAAGTATTAAATTTTCTTAATATATCCATGACTAATAAGAATTCATTTCAAATAAGTAGGAACGTTTAGGGGCTTTTGTAACCTTCGCCACCGCTACCCAGGGGCGCATTTATAGGGAGAAGGGGTTGATATGGGTGTTAGAACACCCTCCCATCGACCGTATTTTATGGTATTTCACCAAATTACAAACTTACAGTATAATTTGAATAAACCTTGCATACAACTTGTAGATATTACATATACTGTCTTAATATAATTATTTTCATTAATATAATAATTTATATAAATACGTGGTATTTATTATTTTAATACGGGGGGGGAGGGCAAAGCCCCCCACTTACCAGTCTATTTAATTTTAAAACACCTCCTTTAAAGGAATCCTGGATATGCCACTGCCGCCACCGAACCATCGTTGACCCAGGAGTTTTTTCAAACTTAAGTTTGCTTAAGTGTGATCAAACATTTGGGCCGGCCCCTGAAAGTTAATATTATTAAATATAATAATATCATTAATATCATATATAATGAATAATAATAATTTGAATTTATTTAATAAATGGTGCATTTTTTTGATATTTTTTTTGGCATTTAAATCCGAGCCCTAATTATTATATAGTTCCTCTTGTTTCAGTTTCAGCGGCGTTTGTGAATAAGAAGCACTAGTGCTACACTAGTTCACTACTGCTATACTCGAACACGAGACGCCATGGATTCACTACCATACACATCAGCATGGGACTTGGGCTTGTCGGCAACACCAGCGGATATGAGCCCCGAGAACGTGGACTACGGCCTCAGCGACATGGTCAGGACCAGTTACTTGGCGAAACTGCGCGAAACGTTAATGTCCAACCTGAGAGGAAACATTGCGAGTGACCGTGGCTCGGCTGGAGACGTAACGGTCGGAATGTTCGTGGAAAAATGTTTGGGCGAGATGGAAAAGGACGCGTTAAGGAAAGCATGGTAGCCGAGATCTACTGCGAGCGATGCGTAAAACTGTACGTATACATCTGCTCTGCGATACCCGGAATTCACCCCTCCGTCCTAACATACACACTGTGTATTTCGCGATAATGATCCGTGTACGGAGTAGCACTTAAAAATAGCAGAAAAAAACCTCGCACTACTTTTGATTCTTGCTGTCCGCGGGCACGTTAAGGACCCCACGCGGATGCACTAAAACGTCTAATACGACGGTATTATGCTATTGATTCGGGATCGTAATGCTTCCTATGGGTAAACAGGTAGACGAAGTGAACAACTGCACGGGTACGTCAACGATCCACGATCGACTGATGACCACGATCATAGGGCATTCGGATGGTAGGAATCGTGAAACCGCATTGATGATGAAGGTCGTTGCTGTCGACGTCAATGAGGGACAGAAAAACTCCAGTGGCGACGCGTACCAACTTCCAATCCTGACGCAGACATAAGTCTTCGGTAACTAGAATATGGGCATTATTACAAATAAAACCTAACGCCTGTTACAGGCAACTCACGACCGTTAACGATTTACTCTTGACCTCGTGGAAAACGAAAAATTTCTTTGTCACCCCCCCCCCATATTATACATTATTATATTTCGTTAAAATAAACGTTTTATTTACACTTGCAGATCAATAGGGCGAACAGGGCATTATGACACTCGCCATCGAGAATTTTAAGCGCACATCAATGTTTCCGGGATCGATAACGAAAGACATTGTGGACCCGAGTACTATGAGCAAAGATGGAACTAGGAATTTTTACGCCCGGGTAAAATGTTAAAATTACGCCCTATCCATAGACTAATAAACAAATACTCAAATAAATTGTGTTCTTATAATCAATATACAATCGTACTTATTGAGTTTTAACCTAATATCAGTATTTAACGAAGTTAAAAATATCAAATTAGTTGTTAATAATTACGAAAATTACACCCTCTAAAATGTTACACCCGGGGATGAATCCCCGTCTTCCACCCCGTAGTTCCAGCCCTGACCATGAGACCCGAGATTATTAACATAATTACGAAGGAAAAAGATATCAGCGCCATGGTGGCTACGACGCACGAGTTCCGCAGAAACATGAAAATACTACCTCAAGGCATGCGAGCCCGGATAGACTAGGAGTTGAACCAGATGTTTGGTTACCGGGTATCGATCGATATTCCCGTCCATGGAGAAGGAACGGATTATTTCCTACGATAGGATCATGCGGTTGGTCTCGGACCGCATGAAACCATATTTCGAGCTCAGGTGAATCGCCAAGTCCTCCGACTTTGAGATCCTCGTCCAACTGATATCGAGGACCATGATGGATAGCGCCAGTGACCCGAGTACGATACTTTATTATTTTATTGTTACTCGCCAAAAATGATTTGATGTTTTTCAGCATGTTTAAAAACATTTATAAAACTAATAATCGTCGCCGTCTTTACACTGTTTAAAAAGTTTTCATCATCATTATATCGGCTGGTCGATTTTATTTTATTTTACTATTTCTCTTACAGCTTATAGCAGTGGTTCTTAACCTTTTTTGAATGACGGAACACTTAACATTTTATAAGATTTTCGCGGAACACAACCGTAAAATAAAATAGTAATACATAGATTTTTAAATTTTATATTTTAAACAATGAATGTATATTGTATAGCATACAATTGTTTGAATGCCATACATGTTAGTGTTAATCACTAAAAATAATAAAATAATAAAAAAAGTTAAAAAAAATTTAAAAATTTGAAATTAATACTTTGTATGAGATATTTGTGCCTAATGATTTTTACAGTTATTTTCAATATCTGGTCGTATGTAGGATATTGCTACTCTCATTTCTTCTTAAATATTTGTCAGACTTCCTCGTTTCTTTGTTTTGATATTTGTCAATGTTGAAAATCCAACCTCATACAAGTATGAGGTTGAAAATTGTAATAAAATTGAGATTGCTTGTTCAGAATTTTTTTTAAATTAGGTTTAAACTGAATGCCAAAATTGAAGACCTGAGGGCAACAACAAGACTTCTTCAATTTATACAATTTTTCAGGAATCGATTTAAACTGTTTTAAAAATTAACAAAAAATATATTTAGATACAACGTCAGTACGTATAAGTAGTAGCCAGTGACAAGTTGTCAAATTCAAGTTTTTTTATTCTAAAAAATAAAAAACAAAACTTGGAGATGTCTTGTTGTTGCACTAAGAAATTATATACATATAAATATTAGTAAGAATAATGTTATTAATATGAAAAAAATGTATACTTACCTACATCATTGTTAAAAATCACTTATATTCAAAGGAAATAATTTTTTTTTTCGAAACATATGGCTATATTTATAAATATTCAACACAATTGAAATTTTATTTATTTTTAACTTCATGTATTTTTTACAATACATATTTCACTATTTTTTGTCATTAATATAACATAATAATATAAAATAAAACAAAATATAAACAACTTTTTTGTTATAAAATACTAGAAATACTAGAAATATTAATAATATTTTGCTATTATCGAATATCGAGTGTGATTGTAGTGAGCAGCCCGCCACTAGTAATACAGTGATAACGTTAACACAATCATAACAAGAGGACCATGTGCGAATTAACAATATTCCCAATGCAACAACAAGATATCTCCCACTATTTATTTTAGTGCAACAACAAGATATCTCCGGAGATGTCTTGTTGTTGCAGTAAAATAAAAACCAGACATCTCCATTTATATGATATCTTTGTATTTAGCAGTCGGATTTGTCTGGTTGTTGCACTAAACGACGCAGTTTTTTTTTCTTGATAATGTACAATTAAAAACTGATTTTGGCCAAAATATGGAGATGTCTTGTTGTTGCCCTCAGGTCTTCAATTCTTCTACTGTTATTTCAGAAAATGTTATTTTGATAGTTCAATCTGTTATTAGCGTTATGAATTCTTCCTCTTCTTCTAACGTAAATTCATAACTTGACGTATTGATGTTCAACAATCTGTCAAAATAATTTTTTTTTTTAGACTGGTGATTGACGTATTTAGATGAAGAATGCCGTTTTAATTTCGCTGGTTCTATTGAGCTATTAGACAACTTTTCCCCATAAACCACACATAGGGGAATTTGACAATAATTTTCGTAAACATAAGAGAACCCAACATTTAAATAACCATTGCAATATAGTCTATTGACCTTTTTTATTTTATTCTCATTATTGAAATTATCATCATTGATATTGCTTGTATTTTTACTTGCATTATCAGTACCAGAATCATGTTTTCATTTAAGAAATTTGTCCATTTTGTTATTAAAATTATCGTTACAAATGAACTTCTAATTAGAATAATTGGATAGGTTATTTTATTAATTAAATAAATTTTAAATTGAACTTACTATTAACAGAATCCTTACTTACGAAGTTGTACACGCGTCTAACGTTGATAACCGCGGGCAACGCACTAATACTAATGTATTTTATAACTTTTATTAGTGCGGAAAAATAAAATTGTCGATATCTATGACGTATGTTATTGCAGTATGGTGGCGATTATCGAATAATATAATAATAATAATGTATATTATATAGAATACTGACACATATAATTCGAAAGTTAACGATAACGTTTTTGTGTACAAAAATAAACCAACAAAACCTAAAATGATTTTATACGCTATACAGTATAAAGTTATTGTTATACACGTCTTATACTTTTGTGTTTTGGAAGTCCATAAAAGACAAAATGTTAAGATAATGGAACTAAACATTTTTTTCGCTATTTTAAAATTTTGGCAGAACACTTATACCAAGTCCACGGAACACCGGTTAAGAACCATTGATTTATAGCCTAATCACGAGTGCAAGTCTTAACCCAGGGGTCTCCAAACTACGGCCCGCGAACAAGTTTTAAACGGCCCGCAGCACCCATAAGACGGTAAATAAAATATAGATATCTAAATATATGTGTAATTTAAAAAGTCGTTATCACGGGTACGGATCATAATTTATGACGACAGACATTGCAGTTTCCTTTTATATTTTTAGTTTTAATGTCGATAACGGAGAGATTAGTCACATAGACGAGCGGTACGACGAAATCATTTCATAACGTTTGTACAGTTACATGTCTAAGTATACCTATATTTTCATAAAATTAAAAATTATATGTGTTAATAAACTTTTGGCCCGCTAAAAGCATTTGATATTTTTTGTGGCCCTTCAATAAAAAAGTTTGGAGACCCCTGTCTTAACCTATTGAACACGACTGCATTTGGTATGTTCTTACGCGAAATATAGCAGGTTACATACGTAAGTGCTATATCTGGTGCAGGAAATCGCATTCACCAAAAATGACACCTACAAAAAAAATGAAAAAATGCCTAATAAAATGTTTCTTGTTGAAATCTAATCTTAATCCGATCCTTGTCACGGTATGATTACATGGTATTCTATCGTAAACGGCATGTAAGATACTATTTACAATACTATGTGTACAACGGATGGGTTTCGTAAAATAATTTAATGTGCTATCAGTCGAATACGTTAACTATAACGCGGCGGCGGGGGCGGCGGCGGGAAGACCAGCGAGGACCAGCGAGGACCAGTAAGAGAACAATAGATTTCCTTTGTCCCAGGATCGGCAAGTATATACTACTAATGCGCACACGTACATCACACCTCGAACGCGATTATATCTTCCACGCGTATTAACATGTACGCGTATAGTAACAACAATGATAATAATACGTGTAGTAATAAGGTGGTGATGGCGATGATGACGATGACGATCGCGGCGTACAGTGTGCACGCTGCAGAGCACAGAAGGGAAATGACACGGCGTTTTTATTTTTTTATTTTATTTATTTCCTATCCGTCTTGCGCGCGTGAACTCCTTCGCGAACGCCCGGCGGCGCACACAATGGGCCGCCGCCAGACGAGTATAATATTATATAGCTCACCGGTGCAATATACCAGTGTATACCTGTTTGGGCCGTACGTATGTACGTATTATAATATTCCTCGACCCACACGGTTTTGCGCGTCCAATTAGACCGTCAGAGCAGAGACGGATGCACACAGTGGCTGTTGTTACACATCTTAACGTCAATTTTTACACACACACACACACACACACACGTAGTACGAGCTCGTAGGTGTGTATGCCATATGTACGTATACCGAATGATCCGTTTTGCACGATCGTTTTCTCGATTGATGATTCCGTGTTTTCGGAATGACTGTACAACAATAACATATGCGTGATTACGAAACGAAAAAAAAAAAATCTATTTCAGATTTTTGCTTTCTTACTATTTTTTATATGACGTACGTTTTCAGTTTTACGATTAAAACGTATTGATTTCGTTCGTATAAACGTCCTATCCGGATCAGTGTGGTTAAAATGGTCTACGAATTCTGTAATGTTTAGACAATATTGCAGTGGAATAGTGTACACACCGCCATCGCCAACGAATCTTCGAAATGTTCGAGAAATATTCTAATCTGGGATAGCAAAAGTGTTGGGACTTATCAAGATAAATTATCTAGATAGATTTTTTATCATTTTTTATCTTATCTAGATAAATAACGCTAAGTTATCCAATTACTTATCTAAGATAACATTTTTACTTATCTAGATAATTATATGTATTCTTGCCAAGGTTAGAGTTATTTTTATTCTTGTGCGGAGACGAATCCAACTAATCAGATATCATCAAAATCGGTCCAGCCGTTCTTGAATTATAAGTTCTGTAAATAATCTGACTTTCTTTTATACATA